TTGTGCCACCATTCCTGAGTTGAAGGATCGCATCCAAAGTGCCGTCGGCAGTGTCCCAGGGAATACATTATGCCGAGTTATGGCAAGCTTCCAACGCCACCTAGATGAATGTGTTGTGCAGAGGGGGCATCATATTCAAAAGTAATCCATGCAATGGACAATGACTTACACATTAGTAAATGGTATACCTTTAGCTATTAATTGACATAAGAGGTAATAAATAAATTACAGTTACTGCCTTATGGTGGGCTTTTAATATCCTACTATGAATGCTGCCACACCCTATATTTTAAATATCCTTGAATGGCCTTGCCACTGTTAAGAAAATTAAACATAAATTTTCAAAAGACTTATTTATATCTGCATTTCAGCATGCCCAGCTCTCCAATAGCCATGATGCTGCCGAAGGATGAACATACAGTTTGGAAGAAGGAATAAGATAGAGATGCTAGCTTTTACTAAAACTTGTAAATTGCTGCACTTCTGGTATTGAATAATTTTTAAAGCCAGTTTTCAAGTTCAATAAGGTTTGTGTCATCCATGCTGTTTCATTTAAACAATGGATGAGGGGAGAATCTTTGCTGATGTAAATGCCTGTGGTCGTATATTTTTTCTGACTAGTATGCATTCCTACAGCACTGGCACATGCCAGAATCATTAATCTCACTTTGGAATCTTTGAGTCTTGCTTTGAAATCAAACTGAAGTTGGAGCCTTTATAAAGATTGCCAAGGTATTTTTGAGGCACATATTGCCAGGAAACACCAGTTTTGTAAGCATTAGAAATTTGTTATGCCAATAACATTTTGCTGTTAATGAGTTCAATGTATTCATTTTCAAAATTTTGTAACAGCTGAAGCTTTTTTGCCCAAAACGCTTAATTTCCTTACCTCACAGGAATTCTAAAATTTGGTTATTCAACCTGTTGAATGTGTGCACTTAGTTTTCTTAAGTCTGTTTCCTCGTGAAATATTTTTGCTTGCACCAGTAATTAGCATTGAATCCACTAACTCACTACTACACTCTCTCACCCATTCAACCATCACTTTTAGTATAGTGAATGTTTTTTTGTTACTTATTAGGAGTAACATGTCAGGATTATTCTGAATATTTTGGACTTGGCCAGTGCCTGTTTGCATAATTTTTAAACACCTTTATCCATTTTTGGCAGCAATTTAATTTTTTGCTTGATTGACATTGGAACATGCCATTGCTTTGCAGATCCTGTTGTAGCTCTACAATTATAAACTGTTTTTGTCAAAATAAAAAAAAAGAACTTGGACTTTTTTATAACTAATAATAATAACCTGCAGAAAATTATGAGCGGGATCAAATTAGGAAATTAACGAAGAGTCAGTTTATTGTGTTAACTGAACTTAAGTTCCTTGGATTCTAATTCTTCCTTCCTTCTCTGCTTTTATATTAATAAAAGAAATCACTATGAGCTACAGCCCACTCCAAGCAAATATATCTTGAGACTTATTATTTAGTTCGAATTTTAAAAAAAATTGTTAATTCCCCTCAACTACCCATTTGCCAAAAGTGAGGTCATGGCTAATCTCAGTTGATATGTTGTTATTGACCATGAGGCAATTCTGTAGCTATCAGTTGTTTGAAAATAGCATACAGGAATCTTCGTTGGGAGGAAAACTGCTTTTATGGCTCACCTACCCTATTTTGAGTATTATATTTCCCATTCTTAAATGTTGTAATAGAAAAAAAATTGCACCAAATCTGTATTTCGGACTTTGTGCTATAAAACTTTTATATTCATACCTGTTATAGACATTTAATCTACACATGACTGATACATTTTATTTACAAAATTGTAAATGTGTTCACAAATTTTTATTTCCCAATATGTTTCAGAAAAGATGTTGAAAAGATATCTTGTTAGATATAGGAGAGGAGAGATAAGTAAAAGATAATGGAAAGAATTACTTATCATGTTTTTCTTTTTTAGATGTTGATCCACCAGTGGTCTGGTGGATAAGACTGCTTAACACCTGTAGTTTGACCAACGTGGATTACTGGTGAGTAGGCTGGCTGCATATAGTTTTCATGGTTCTCCTCATATGTAATATGAATATGAGCCAGTATTCCATAGAAAGTCATCAGTGAAGGAATCTGATTATTTGGTTGATAGCCTTAGCATGCTTTGCCATAATTGATGAAATAAAATGACATTTTTAGAGGCTACTGCAGTAGCGCTAATTTGTTGGGGTTAAACATAAGTCGTGAAACATTATCGAATAGGATTTTAGAAATATATATGTAAGGTGGAAAAAAAAAGTGTAAATCAAAATTTTTACTTCAATTTGCAATAGCCCCTTAACTGTCTAATTTGATTAGGATATTTTCCTTTTTCATCCTTTACATAAAGCTGATGATCCAAATAATTGAGAACTAAAAGTGAAAACTCTTAACCAAAACCTTCCTTTCAACTAAGCGTCCATTTTTAAAAATGTTCCACTTGCATTCTGCTTCTCGGCCTAGCTAGACTGCTGCTGAGCTGCTCCTACTACAGTGATATCAAAAATACAAATGTTCTAAAACAGGCATGATTAGTGTGAGAAGTTATTTGTGGAAACAAATATTAAACTAAAATAAAAGGAATATTATTTTTCAGCTGTGACTTTCATCTACATGATGCCGACTCTTCTACTTTTATTACATATATATATATATATATATATATATATATATATGAGAGAGAGGAAGAAATATTAAATGAGCATCTTGACATTATTTAGTTATGGTAATGTCATTATGTAGTGAAGCAGTTAATTGGTAATAAATAAGGCAAGTAACTTTATCATTGCTCTTATTTTCATATATTTTAAGGATTTTCTCAAATTTCATGAATTTTAGATTTTTTTTTTTTTTTTTTACTTTTATGTTTTAATTTCTGTTACAGTTAATAGATTAAATTTAAATAATTTCATGCTATTCTTCAGTAGAAATTTTGCAAAAAATATTCCAGAAAATGAACCTCTAGAATATGAGAAAAAGCCATTTTCTAAAGTTGTGTGATGTTGCTATACATTACCTTTGGATGCTGTAAGACAATTTATGGATGCCAACTCATCAGTTTTAAAAACATATTGCTTATTTAAGAAAATCTGTGTATTTAATGTATAAGAACGCAGTGTAATTAAAATTTAATGGGAATCTTGATCTGAAATAACAGTATCAACTACTTTACTAAAACTGATGATTTTAAAAATGTCAATATCTATGAAAAAATGTTTAATTTTTATTTAGTTACTTGTTATTTGTGCTGTTGTCTCATTTTTGGTATACATCCCTACCAAAATGTTTATGCGAATCCTATATATGCAATTAAGCCATTTCCCCCTTTTTCTTGTTTTTGTTTAATAAGAATACTGCTGTAGTGTTGTGGGTGAGCAAATGAAAGATAGACATACAGTTTTGGAAGTTTGAAAAGAGAAAAATAAATAAAAAAGACTTCTAAGATTTTAAGATATAAAATTGCTTCTATATACACTGCTGACCATTAAAATTGCAACACTGTGAAGGAAAGCAAATACAAAAAAGATATTTATCGTACGTAAAATAGTATGGCATGAAGACAAAATGATTAAATTTGTAAGCAGTTTGGAGGTTTACAGGGGCACGGAATTAGTAGAAATAGCTGCCACCCCTGGCAGCTAAAACAACCTTTACCTGGTTAAGCATGGAGTCGAATTGGGCTTGGATGACGGAAACAGGCAACTCATTCTATGCTGCTCCAAATCTATGGCACACTTCATCAACCATATTAGCTGGACAGGGATGGCAGCCCAGTCTTTCAGCAATCCATGACCAGATGTTTTCAGTATGTAACCGATCTGGAGACTGTGCTGGCCAGGGCAGCAATCGAATAACCCTGTGTATCAAGGAAGGTCAGAACACCATATGCAATATGTGATCTTGCATTATCATGTTGGAAAATGGCACTTGGCAGTCCTCAAAGTTAGGCACAACCACTGGATGTGAGATGTCAGAAATTTACTGATCAACATTCAAATTACCATTGATCTGAATTAAAGATGTGCGTGACGTGTACCCAATGGATTCTCAAATCATCACATGCTTTAGATATTGGCATAGGGTGCAAGGCCCCTATGCCAATATCTAAAGCAAGCAGGTGACAGGTGGTCTCCTTGGAGCCTCCAGATGCATATCAGAATACTGCATTCAGAACTAAGTATCATCTGAAAAGACAACATTGCGCCACTCCTGTATCCAGCTTTGTCGTTCAGCGCACCAGAGTCGCCATCTCTCTCCGTGCTGCATTGTCAAGAGAAGCCAAGGTAATGGTCACCATGCTGATAGTCCACGCTGCTTCAGACGTCGAGGCACCATACAAGCGGATACTGGGCATGCTGTAAACATGCTCATTTCCTGACTAATGGTCCATGGTGTGGTAGTGCAGTTTTGCATGGCTGACCTCAAAATATGTCTGCCCTCTCGGACATAGGTCATGGGAGGGCATTGAGATTCTACATGCCATTCAGTATGACCCTCAGCAACCCATTGATTCCACATTCGCATGACAGTGGTTGGATGTTGACCAGTGCGACAGGTGATATGACGGAACAATAATCCACACTCTCAATAGGCAACGATTCTGCCTCTGTCGAATTCCGACACTTGCTGCTAAGCATTTATTATTATTATTTGAGGCGAAACACGATATTCTGAGCAAACTCCGACCTTACAAAGCACTTTCCACTGCACAACTTTTCTTTTATGCAGTGCTTCAGATGTCATTTCTCCCTTCTGCATCGTATAAATGTGCTGAAATACTAATCATTTGCATATCGCAACCTCTTCTTTCTTTCATCTGATTTTGACGTTCATCAGATTATTCCTTCCTGGTATTGCAATTTTAATGATCAGCAGTGTATATGTATAAAATTTGTAAAGAAAAACTTTATATAGGGACACACATATGTTTAATGCTTAATAAAAATATTTTCTGTGTTGTTCTTTTAGGATGTGTTACTAGAAGCTGAGAAGATCTTTCAGAACTCCACACAGGTATTTCTGCTATTTTATGCAAATATAGTAAGACTTTTGTGTGTGTGTGTGTGTGTGTGTGTGTGTGAAAAGTGACTGCGCTATGTACACAGTGCCCATGAAGGTCCTTATATGTCATTTATTTTCACCACCGTTTATCTTAGACATATACTTCCAATTACAAAAAGGCTTTAAAGAATAAAATAACTTGTGTAATGGCATTTTTGGATAAAAAGTAAATTTCATGAAGACTGCAAAATTTTTATAAGTATAATGACTAAGAGTATGAAAATAAGGGCTGTGTAAGAACTTTTGGGAACTAGTTGTACAATGTTGTCTGTCTTACTTGATCTGAACTGTAAGCATATATTGCATACTCTTCTACAAACCGAATTAGATGATTTCCATTTTCTGTGTAATTTATGAATACAGTTTGCTTGCTATCTGTGTTGCTGTAATATAACTTCTGTATTGATTTGAAAGCTTGTTTCATTCACTAGTATAATTTTTCAAATTTTGTAAAAGAAATTCATTTATAGTGTATAGATGAGTCAGCATGCAGTGTCTGCAGGAAATTTTAAAGTATCCACCAGTCAAATTTCAGAATTTTATATAGTATTAATCTAAAAAACACTTGTATGTAATTTTAATGAATAATATGAGTAAAAATTCTTATTTAATCTTCTCCCATTTTGATTTGTATGAAATGTAGACCTAAAACTTTTGACAAAAAACTGAATCTTAGCAACATGAGATTACACTACATGACTAGATGAATCTATTTTCAACTGCTGTATGCATCTGATTCTGCATACAGTGAAATATTATCTGTTTCCATTACTGTGTCATATATACTCTTTTCAACTATAGTATGCAAGGCTTTATCTTCATAACCTCTAATACACAAACTTCTTTCATGAATTTGCGTTTTGAGCTGCAAGCAGAGTATTCATTCTTCTTTTCAAATTAAAAGATAACAAAAAATTGAGATAATGCTGCTTTTGAAATGGTTGGTACTAAGAAAATAAGTTATTTCAATTTAACTTTATGTGAAAGTTAGGTATGAGCAAATTTTTGGTTTTTTTGGAAAAAGTTGTGGCAAAAATTTGAAAAATTCATGGCAATTGTAAGCAGTGTTAAGTTAGACTATACCTCCTTCATAGTTATGATATTTATTGCAATATAATGTGGTTTTAAATATGTATTTGAATAAAATTTTGGGAGCAGATTTTGAGATTCATTTTAGAGATACCAAAAGTTGTCTTTTATTCGATAGTTTTGTTATTTATTTTTGGATTAACAGATAAGTTTTAATAAGTTTTTCAATCCACTTTCCTTTAGTAATTGTTTGGTTATTCTAATGCATTTTATAAGCTAGAACAGTGATTATCAACCATTGTGCCACGGCACTTTTGTGTGCCGCCAAATTGTAGAAATGTATGTAGTAAAAGCTAAAATGAGTTTAATCCTAGTATATGGTGCACATGAGGATTGGTGAAATTTGGTTTTAAAGACATGAATAAGTGCGCCAGTTGTGGTATCCAAGCCGATTTTAGGGTCAAAGACTTCTCCATTTGAATTAACTTTGAACAAAGAGGAACTAATTTTGCTTTCTAATAATCGAGATTTAATTTTAAAATATTCGGAAGAATCAATTAATTCATTAGATGTGATTATCCCAAGATGGCCAAAAAAGCTTTAAAAATATTATTACAGTTTTCTACACCTAATTTGTGGGAATTCAGATTTTCAGTATTAACCAACACAAAAATGAAAAAAAAAAGATCGATACTTTTAAATGTAAAAAACGATATGAGAGTAGCATAGTCATTTTTACGACCAAATAAAAATGAAATTATCGAAAACATTAAGCTCAAATTTCTCATTAAAAGTATTCTTATTGTTAACTTGTAATTAATCCCTTAATAAACATACTGCTGTTTTTATAGTACATATTATTTTATTTTATATTCAAAATTACTATCATAAACTATTTTACACAGTGTATTATAGGAAAGTAAACAACTTATCTTTTTCTTTGTGTGCCGCCAAATTTTGAAATCGTAAAAGTGTGCCACGATTAAAAAAAGGTTGAGAATCACTGAGCTAGAGGGTTGCAATAAAATCCTGACTATCCAGCATTCAAGTAACCAAAATATTTTTAAATTTTAGAGAAAACGTTTTCCCAAAAAAATTTAGTATAGATTTATAACTTAATTATATTTGCTACTGTTAATATACCTTGTCACCAAATGGTATTATTTAATGTCAACAATGGATAATCATGACATCACAATCATGACTAGGTTTTTGTTTAGCGTAACTTGATTATATGACCATTGAACCAAAAAAATAGTTCTTTAATTCCATTCAAATTCTTTAACTGAGCTGTCAGAAAAAATTCTATTTAAGACTAATTCATAATGGAAATTATAAATTTTTCACTATTCAGGAAAAGAGGAAAAAATGAATCGTATGAATATTCCATTTTATATTTGATTCTTGTTTTAGAGAATGAAAAATTTTTATCCTTATCAGGTTTTATTTATTTATTTATTTATTATTTTTATGTATAAATGCTCTGTAAATTCTGCCCTCCAAACTCGGATTTTGCATTCTTTAGGTCATTTTCAAAACACAAAATATGCTTTACAAGGGATAGTAAATCTTTGTAGATCTATACATATCCACTGAAGTGACAAAAGTCATGGAATACCTCCTAATATTTTGTCGGTCCTCCTTTTGCCCGGCGAAGTGCAGCAACCCGACGTGGCATGGACTCAACAAGTCGTTGGAAGTCCCCTGCAGGAATATTGAGCCATGCTGCCTCTATAGACAGCCATAATTGTGAAAGTGTTGACAGTGCAGGGTTTTGGGCATGAACTGACCTCTCAATGATGTCCCATAAATGTTCGTTGGTATTCATGTCAAGCGATCTAGGTGGCCAGATCATTCGCTGGAATCGTCCAGAATGTTCTTCTAACCAATCGTGAACAATTGTGGCCCGGTGACATGGCGCATTGTCATCCATAAAAATCCCATCATTGTTTGAGTATGTGAAGTCCATGAATGGCTGTAAGTGATCTCCAAGTAGCTGAAGGTATCCATTTCCAGTCAATGATCAATTCAGTTGCACCAGAGGACCGAGTTCATGCCATGTAAAAACAGCCTAGACCATTATGGAACCACCACGAGCTTGAACAGTGCCCTGTTGACAACTTGGTTCCATGGCTTCGTGGGGTCTGCACCACACTCGAACCCTACCATTAGCTCTTACCAACTGAAATCGTGACTCATCTGACCAAGCCACGGTTTTCCATTCGTTTAGGGACCAACCGATATGCTCACGAGCCCACGAGAATCGCTGCAGGCGATGTCGCGCTGTCAGTAAAGGCACTTGAGTCGGTCTTCTGCTGGCATAGCCCAAGGAAGACAAATTTCGCCGCACTGTCCTATCGGACACGTCCCTCGTACGTCCCACATTGATTTCTGCGGTTATTTGATGCAGTGTTGCTTGTCTGTCAACATTGACAACTCTACGCAGATGTCGCTGGTCTCGGTCATTAAGTGCAGGTGGTCGGCCACTGCGCTCTCTATGGTGGGATGTTATGCCTGAAATTAGATACTCTTGGCACACTCTTGACACTGTGGATCTCAGAATCTTGAATTCCCTAACGATATCCGAAATGGAATGACCCATGCGTCTAGCTCCAACGACCATTCCGCGTTCAAAGTCTGTTAATTCTCGTCGTGCGGCCATAATCACATCAAAGCCTCTTCACATGAATAACTTGAGCACAAATGAAAGCCCTGCCAGAGCACTTCGCATTTATACATTTTCTACGCGATACTACTGCATATTGCTATCCCATGCCTTTTGTCACTTCAGTGTATGTATCATGGCATGGGCGTAGCCAGGATCGGAGCTAGGGGTGCAAATGATCTTAGACCCAGAAAACGAAACTATGATATGATATGAATTCATGAGTGGTAGAGTAGATAAAATTGCTGAGCACCAATCATTCAATTTGAAAGTGAATTACTTGGTTGTCTGCATGAATGTTTTTGTGGATATGTATTATTAATTGAATATGAACCAGTTTCCTCAGAAAATTGTTTCAGACAGCTTTCCTTCAGTATAGCACTCACATGCTTTGCTACAGTCGAATAAACAAGCAAATAAATATGTAGAGACATTAGGCATTTTTGGAAGCAGGCAAGATGAAAAATTAGGGACCGTCTTCGCCGGGAATCGAACCATGGACCTCTGGAGTACCGGCCCAGCTTGCAGAACCACTACACCACGAAGGCACGCTAGGAAAGTGGGAGAAATACCTTATAAATAACAGAACTGGAATACATGAGTTAAAACAGATCGTTGAAATGTTGGAGAATAGACTGAGAGAATATTGAAATATTGGAGAATAGACGTTGAAATATTGAAGAGACTTCTGAACATATTTTTTACTTGATCTTTATTTTCTATTACAATTTTTCTGCTTTTTGAACCAAATCATTTTAAAACTTCTTTTTCTGTTTCTATTCTATTTCTTGAACAAGCTTTCTTTGCACACTTAACATACACAGCCTATTTAAGCAATTCTCTGTCATTGTAGAGCACAACCAAGTTTTTACTCTGTGCAGGGTACTAAATGAGCGTCAATAGTACATGTAGTACATGGTTGAGACAAAGATATAAGAAGAGCATGTTTCATTTCTGGGGGGTGGAAATGTTGCTTCTGTTATCAAATCTTCCATAGTTAACTCCTACATGTTGTCGATCTGTAGTTTCTTCGTTTTTCAGAAATTATATCCGAGTTCTCTCTCACTGTCAAAAATTTTCAAATTATATAAATCGTGAAAGCATTCCACTTTTTTCATAAATTCTTCCACTGGCATCTTTAGCAAAGCCACAGGATGTAATAACAACAAAGAAATGCTGGGAATTTATTGCTGGAAAATCTTTCTTCCAGTGATAGTATTAAGGAATCCAGATAGGGAATAAGAAGAAACCTTTTCTAGAATTCATCAGTTATAGATGCTGGAGGATTTAAGCAATGTTTTTGCAGCTTTGCAATTTTCGGTGCTTGTATTTCAGTGCCAATGCTGTCAGCCATAGCACTTGCGAAAGACAGAATTCCTGGCATAAAACATCTGTTGCTCTACGATGTTCTTTTACAAGCATTAAAATTCTATTAATGTAATCTACACATTGTAGCTTATTTAAATGTTTGGACTGTAAAATATTAGCCACAGGGTCTAGAAGAGACGAATATTTTGCAATTAGTTCTACGCACATGATAAATTCAGATTTTGTCACAGCACGATGTAATTGGAAAGCAGTTTTCTTGGTAGATGCATTACCTCCTTTTGATAACTTTCCCAGCCCCTGTGCTATGTTTATGAAATGCTCTTTAAATATACCAATACTTCTGTATTTCTGAGACCAGCATGTGACACAAAAGTTTGGAATATTTACTATATATCTTCTTTATAGAACAGATTCACGAAAAAAATTAATCACATATTTTATAGTAGCAATAGTACTTCTCATTTCTGATATGCAGTTCAAATCGTTCACAACTAAATTTAGTTTGTGACTTGCACAATGAAAAAAACAAAGCTTTTTTGTGCTTCTCATGCAAGATCTTAAGTACTCCACTAATATTCCCTGCCTTGGTTGAACATCCATCATAACCTTGTCCAACCCATCCATCGTAACCCTGTCCAACCTGATTTGTATCAAAACCTTCCCTTTTCCGAAAAATGTCTAATTAATTTGCTACGGTACGAGCATCCATTGCATTTAGATCAATAAATTCTAGGAATTCTTCCCAGACAGCTATCCTTTCTTCATCAAAAGAATCAAATACCAATTGATAATTCCTCCTTCCCAGATTTATCACTTGTTCCATCTGCCATTATGCTGTAAGCAGAAGCTTTTCTCTGCATCTTGTACTATAGTGTATTTCACCTCCAATCCACACAAATTGATCGATTCGTTTTGGATTTGAGGTGACATATAAGTAGCATTTTTATTACCTTTTTCGAAATGTCTTTGCAAACTATTATCTTCTGCTTCGATTCTTAGATGAATCAGGTTCTGATAATTCTCTTTCTGTTTTGTCTTACCTCTTGGCGAGAGGTCATGGGTTCCACAGAATGTGATTGTGGAAATTATTGACTGCATTATGTTTTGATTGTCTTCCATTACTTTTTTGTAAACTTGAAAAGAAACTTGTCTAACATATACAGGTTCATTTTCTAGAAAATTCTTGGCAGTGATTTATTGATGCTTTGTGTCACTGATTTGAAAAGTGGCTTTTACAAGCTTTGTGCATGACATGATAATGCATGAATGCCTTAATAATGAAGGAGCCCCAAACACCTTTCATTGATGCAGAAACAGGAGGGAAAAGAACACAGTACAAGCATAATACTCCTTTTACACTTTTTGAATATGTGAGCCAAGAAGCATAAGTCTTTAGCCACTCATGTATAAACTTTCTTCTCAAATGGATAGCATCTGCTGGAAAATAATAATTTTCATCAGGTTTCCAACAGCATTTTAATATTCCCATCTTTATATGTGTGGGCATTGATGATGAACACCCTACCCGTCATCCCAAATCATGGTTGCAACATTCCACGATGGTGTCACTACTACATGATGTAGATAGAAGCATGACTTTATCTAAAGTGGTAGGAGAAGCACATGTTTTCATTAATTCTTCACTTTCGCTTTCACTAGTGTCTTCTATTTTATTCCTCTTCACTGCTGAAATATAATACTAAAATTAATTACCTGTTTGGAAATCAATGTCAGAAATCATATGGTGCTTAGCCTTTTCCAGTGTTAGAGTTGATGAGCATTCATATCAAATTGGGTTAATACAGCTAAAAGCATTCAGAAGTTATCATATAATATCCATGCACATACATATAGTCACTTATTTAATCAATAACATTCACAAATTCTTTTGTGATTTCTGCCACCTTACTAAAATTGAGACCTAAATGAAATTTTACAAGAAGGGCCTTTATAAGGTATCTCCCGCATTTAAGCAAATGCTATTTAGCCAACTTTTAATTAAAATGTTTAAAAAGCATTTTTATACATTCTCAAATTAATAATTTTTTTTATTATAATGCTGTTACAAATATAAATAAATCCCAGCTATGAATGAAATAGATAGCCTGTCCCCATATAAGTGCAAAATGCCTATGATACATGCATTTAAACTCTTTCAGTGGTTATTTATATTCAAATGATTGATGAAGATCGCTGCAATATTTAGAAAATTTAAGGAAATACAAGTGAATTTTTCTATTTTAAGGTAAATTAATTTTAAATACAGAAACTGAAATTTTATGAGAATTGGTGATTTAATTTTTTTATACAATGGAACCTCGAATCATGAACATTTCGGTATATGAACAAATTATATGGGCAAAAAACGCTTATAGAAATATCATATAAAGAACATTGTTTCGAGTTAGGAACACTTAAATCAGCAACATATGATTTTCAAAGATGTTTTCAGGTAATCTGTGCCACATAACTAACTCCCAAGCACTTTTGGAATTATCATTTTGAATATAATATAAGCATATCAACTATCTTTAATATGATATAAGCATATAAATCAGGAAAATAATATTAAATGTGTAAAGGGAAAACATACTTTCTTGAACAGAATAAAAATTAAGTACTAAAAATAAATGGCAAAATCCAATGAAAACTGTATAATGAATTTGAGTTTATTGAACATGCAAACTATTCAAATATTACCTTAGTTAGGACATTTTTCATCCTCCCCTGCAGGAAAGTAATTAAAATTCCTTAAAAATTAAACATTAAAGTTTCGCGAGGAAAATTCATTTTATAATTTTTGTGCATATTCAGATATAAAATATTAAACAATGTTTTTATGTAAAATTTGATTACGAAAGAACTCAATTAAAACTTTTTCTGTTATGCACTTTGGCCAAATTCAATTCAAAAGGTAGAATTTAGCTGAAAAGTTTCCTGTTTTTAACATTATTAGAAAAATGTAAAATGGATGCAGTCATATTGATATCTGTCAGAAGTACAGATTATCCAAATCTTCAGGTAGTAATAAAAAAATCAAAACTCTTAAATTTATGCTCATGGAAAAAACTTGGATGGGAAGAAAAGTACAGGGATGTTGCTGAAATGACTGTGACAAAAGCCAATGAATTTGCCAGACACTTTGGAGGGACTAGTAAAAAATTAACAGCAAATTTAATAACTTGTGTGCAAGAATAATTACAATTTAATTTTAATATATTTTAATTATTATTAATAATCTCTTTTGCTAGATGTGAAAATGTTAATTGGTTTTTACCTTTATTTTCACCATAACAATTTTTACACATTTTTATGAGGTAATCCATTTTTCTGATCATATTGGATATAGTGAGCTATACTTCCGGACCGTCAAGTTCATAATGGCAAAGTCAGCTGTATATATATGTTTTTTTTTTTTTTAATTTAATTTAAACTGTAAAAACTTGGCTTTATAAGAAGGTAGCAGTATAAGTAACTATTTTCCTTTTTAAATATGTTTATTATTGAGAGGCAAAGGGGGAAGCTTCAGAGATTAATAAATATCTTCATTGTATAGTAACAAATATTTGTAAAAGTCAAGCGTGAAGTTTAACATTTACTGTAAATTTTGATTTCCCCTCTCAGTTTATTTTTCTTTTACCATACAGAAGTATGCATAAATATGTACTGAAACTGAAGTAGCAAGTTATTAACCCTTATTTATTTCTGCCATTAAGTTTATAATTTACTGCATTTTTAAAATTGCTTTATTTTTAGATGGCTTTAAGGAAATTCACAGCTGATCAGCATCTAATGTTTGATGAAGATTCTTCATGTATTAGATGGTTTTTGCTGCCGAGCGAAGCAAAAAGATATCTACTTGGAGAACTTCAGAACCCTATTAAAAATCCTGTTTTTACCATACGGAGTGCTAGAGGTGTGCATCCAAGTGAAAACTTTAATCAGATACCTGAAATATTGAATAACATTGAAAATGAAAATGGTAATAGTACAGATTTAAATGTTAATCCTCTCACTGAAAATGTGAATTTCACAAACAAAGAAAGTGGCAATAATTGTGCATTACTGATCCCTAATCTTAAACATATTGTTCACCATGATCTGATGCGCTGTCGATGGAAATCTCCTCCTGCATCAATATTTAGACCATTTTTAAAGGTAAGTTTTCATGTTACTGCATTATTCCATTGTTACGATTGTACTGTGCATTACCAGATTATCAGGTTGTCTCTGGATAAGAAAAGCTCAAAAGTCTTTTATAATTGCATTTTTACAATTGAATTTTTATTTTAAAGATTAGTTAAGTTAATAGTTTAATTTTGTACTTCTTTTTTTTTTTCCGCCTGTTTTCTTATTTTATATACCGTATTTCCTGGTACATTTGTTTCACTAATTTTATCGTCAGAAAATTATGTAAATAATTTAATTTACGAAGGACACGGTTACAGTAAGAACATAACAAATAAAAAGTAGTCACAGATAAACTGCAAGTTACTTTCACAATATTACACTCATGTCCATAAATTAAGGATAATTCGGAGTCACGTGGAAATCGAACTCTAAAATAAATATATCACCTGTAAAATCACTACACACATCTCCAAGAATCATATGCAAATTTCAGGAAGTAACCAGATGACACCCAATGGTACGTCACAATGATGAGAGTGTAAGAGAGTGATATATAAGAAATACAGGCAAAGAAGTAAATTGTTCGCAGGCGCTTTATAAGCATTTCAGTGCAATAACCGAATAGTTATGAACCAAAGGCGCATTTGGATGATTTTTTACGTGGTAGAATTATCGGCCGTCTGGAATGTGGACGTACCCAACCGGAAGTATCAGATGAACTTGGAATTGCCCAGAGTGTCATCTCCAGGCTTTGGCAACGATTCCAAGATGATGGTAATGTGAGTAGACATTACAGCACAGGTCGCCCCAGAGTTACAATGCCGAATAAGGACCAGTATTTGGCAGTTACTGCCAAAAGAAATAGGCGGAGCACAGCCTCAGACTTGTCTCATCAGCTCTCTTCAGCCTCTGGTATGACAATTTCAAGGCAGATCTTGTACAGACGCTTAGGGCAGATTGATCTATATGATCGTAGACCTGTCAGATGCGTTCCACTTACTGCAACTCACTATCGCCTGCGGTTAACCCGGAGTAGAGAGCATGCATTGTGGACACCGCAACAGTGGGCTTCTGTGATGTTTTGTGACGAGTCCAAGTTTAGCTTGCAGTCTGATTCTCACCGGACTTTCATATGGAGAGCTCCAGGCACCCGTCACCACCAAGAAAACATCATTGAACGACATCGTTACGGTGGTGCAGGAGTGCTCGTTTGGGGTGGAATTATGCTGGGTTCCAGAACTGACCTGCATGTTCAAATTGGAACCATGACAAATGAATCTATCTGTACGTCATTCTGGAACAACATGTACGTTTGTGTCGGGGCGCCATATGCGCACAATTTGTGTTTATGGATGACAACGCCCGTCTTCACCATGCAAACATCGTAAGCGAATGCCTTCAATCGGAGGATGTCACCCGTATGGACTGGCCAGCATTCTCACCGGAATTGAATCCAGTAGAGCACGTGTGGGACATGCTTGGCCGACGAGTTGCAGCCCGTCCTACATGTCTACCTGAACTTTGGAGAATATTGCTTTTTGAACGGTGTAATATCCCCCAAGATCAGATCGTTAATTTGATACTCAGCATGCCTAGGCGTTGTACGGACTGTATTGCATCGTCTGGGAGACATACAATGTATTAACAATCATATCAACCATGTAATATTTTTTTTTTTTTTTTTTTTTTTTTTGTAATTTGCTCCAGGGAGAAAAAATCGCTAATTTTTTTAATAATATCAAACATATAGCATCTTTTTTTTGCTCTTTATCTTTTGTTTAATAAATAAGCTTTACAAATAAGTCAATTTGTTTTGCTTCTAAATCTTCCTTTTCCTGATTTTGCATTATCCTTAATTTATGGACATGAGTGTATTTCTTTTTAAGAATCCTGCATTCCTATGCGAATACCTAGTAATATTTGCATTATAATATCAAATAAAGTATCATTTCTACATCTGAGTAATTTGAATCTTGCTTATGCTTATTGTTATATCTGCTATTCTTTAGGCTTCAAATCATCCATAAATAATTACAGAAGGTGAATGTGCAGCCGAATCAATGAAATTATAGACTGCATATCAGTTCATGTTTGTTTTGCTGTGATGTGTTGATTCTTATATTAGGCTGTCACAAAGTTCAACAGTTAGAAGGGGAATGTTCAGCATGACTTATAAATTTTTTATTTATTTATTTATTTTAATTTTATTTTTTTACTAACAAAAACAATCAATACTTTGACAAATCCGTTTTAAAATTTAGGAGAACTTATTTTCTGAATGCATCAAGGAAGGGAAAACATTACTTGATTTTTTTTTTTTTTTTTTTTTACTAAAAGGGTAGGAGAGGAATAGGCAAGGAAATATGGTATTTATATTTATATTTTAGATTAATTCATATTTTAATGTATTTTCAGGCTTTGGAGACTTTTCATATGATCACAAATGGTGATAGGATTTTAGTCTGTGTTTCAGGTGGCAAGGACTCTCTGTCATTAGTTCATACTTTGCATCAATATCAGTTTTATGCTAAAAAAAAGGTAAATGAAGCAATTAAAAGTTTAAATGTATATCAGTGATTATCTGTGTCCCAGAACATTTTTTAGAATTGGTCAAAAATTTCTGATAGGTTTCAATGATTATTTACTTGTGAATCTGAATACTGGCTTGTTTCTTCTCCTTCAGTTGATTCAGCAGTTAAGTTTCAGTAGCTTTTACTCTTTGTTTTCTTTTAATTGTGGACTGGGACAGTATCTACCATTACATTAGATTAGATTTTTTAATTCTAAATTGTCTTTATTGGAATTATAAATACATACAGTGTGGCCTGAATGTTGTATCAGGATTATAGAGCAGACGTATGGAATTACTTACAGTATGCGAGAAGATATGAAACTGAGTAATCTGATTTCTGAGGTTTTTAAAGAATATAAAATTCCTAGGAAAACTGTAGTTCATGAAGTAACAGAAACTTGTATTCATGTTACCCAGGAAAAAAAAAACTACAGAAATTCCCGTGCAGCCAGTTCATTCACCATGATTTAAACTTAAGTCAAATTATCTGCATTCAGTGGTTGTACCAATCAACTGTTAGTGATATAGCATTTCTGAAACATTTTCCACTTTATTCAGTTTGCTAAATGCAACTAGTGTGAAATGAAATACATCTTTGACTAGTTTTTTACTGCAACTTATCTGTGCTATACGTTCAGTCGCCCATAGTCAGCATATTTATTATCACATAAAATATGTGCTTTTGCATCATGCTTAAATGGCTAAAATATGATTCACCTTTCCACAGTAATTTCCAGAGTTGCTTGTATTCTGACCTAATTTCTCATGTAATAAATTTCTATCAACTGTATTTAACATATCGTGCATACAACCTGCCGAGTGATTATGGCATTGAACCCTGCTAGCTTACCCAGAGTGAATAAGCTGGCTGCATGGAGATTTCCCCATTTGTAATGTGAATATGAGCCAATGAAAATCACCAAATCTGATTATGTACATCTTCTTAAACTGCCTGTCTATAGAATATAAGCACTTTTCTTGCCATTTTATATTTCTGGATGAGTAGATTTATATGTATTGTTTTTCTGAAAAGTTCTGAATAAGGAAACCCAAGTATATCATTATGTTGAGCATCTTTTAAAGTTTATATGGACAAGGTTTTATTTTTTAATTGCAATATTATACCATTCCTTACTAAATGCTTTTTGTTAATTAGACTCATTTATCTATGTGTGTGTGTGTGTGTGTATATATATATATATATATAATCACCTCTTTCTCCCTTTTTCATTGACAGGGTGTATATTTTGACTTAGGGTGTATGACTGTTGATCCAAAGAGTCCTTCTTATGATCCTAGTCCTCTGAAGGATTATTTCAATGCACTTGATATCCCTTACTTTTATGAAGAGCAAGGTAATTATTCATAAGCTATCTTACAGAGTTTCTCATTCTTTTCTTTAATTATGTGCTCTGTATGTTTCGATATAGTGTTTTGTATCATTCATCATATATTTTAATTTGGACGGGGTGCGATTCTTAACTCTGTTACGACTGTTCTATGAGCTTGCTTCTGAAGGGTGCTTGTAATACAGCAGAACTTGTATTATCCAAACTAAATAAATTTAGAAAATGAAAAATAAATTTTGTAAGGTTATCTCCAAGTGTTGTTTTAGCATTCTAAAGCCAGAGCTAGGATTTTAGTTGTGCGTTTTTGGATTAAAATAGAAGCATTTGAGAAAAAGGAGGGGAACTTGCTTTTTACCCTATAGCTGTTGCACAGAATCACATTTATTCTTGCAATATACTCATAAAGATATGCACAGACAGTTCACATGACTAAAACTATGCTCACACTAATTAATTGATACACTTGTCATGTGTAGCATTAGCAAAAATGTTCTGTAATTTTGTGTCTAACTTTTCATCATTATAACTTCTTATCAGCTCGGTCTTAAATGATAATAGAGTAGAATCAGATCTTTTAAGTTAAAGAAGGTAGCCTCAAGGATTGTGATGCCATATTAACCAAATCTTTGAATTATTTAAATATAGCTACTCTACAAACTAACTGGAGTAAAACGTTGCATAGCTAAGGAGTTCCTAAACTTGTAAACATTGCGGCCCTCTCTTTAGAAACCGAATGCATAGCAACCCACTTCATAATTGGGGCATTGAATTTTTCAAATGAGTAGTAGATGTTCTTTTATTGTTAAGTTTTTTGGGTCAAAGAGGAACACTTGTAAGGGAAAAAATTATAATTAAATATAATTTTGTAAACAGTATTTCTAATAAGGCTTCTATGAAGGGTGCACTTGTTTTCAACTGCTGTCGATGATGGCAGTGAACTTAGGCCGATTCGAGTTACTTTCAGATGTAAGGAGTTGATGATTGCAATTTATTCTGATACTTAAGTTTTAGTTTCTACCATTGCCAGAAATCAAACTTCACAAAGGTATGATGATATGAAAGAAAGTAATATCTTCAGAGGTTTAGTAGAAAGAAGGGTGAAATTGTTGGACAGATAACCAGAATTGTGTCAATTTACTATGATTAAAATTCTGTTTTAGTAATGTATTTTTGGATAGATCTTTAAGTTCATCACCTTTTGAAAATCTGCCAGTAGTAATGTTGCCCTGGAAGAGATGCACAATCCAGTTCTCTGGCAGATTTTCATTGTTTCAGTGAAAGTAAAAATTAAAATTTTCTTTCAAAGCATTCAAATGTTTTGAGATCTTGGTAATTATGCTATCAGAAACCTTCACATTATTTTCTATTATAAACATTTGAAATGTTTCAAAACTCATATTTTTGGCCTTTGGTGTTGTTTTCCTTTAACAGCGGATTTTAATTAGTCCTTGTTTTCAAAATGGCAACATGCTAAGTATTCCACTCGAGAGCAGCCAATCATTAAAGTTTAAACCCAAGATATGTTGATAATAAAACACTTACCTCTTTCAAGAAATCTTTTCCTTTTGTGCCATTGTTCTCCCCGTGGGCTTAGCAATCTGTTTTTGCTTTAAATCATCAGAGAATTAGACAAACATTTTGCCATATAACATTCACATTGGGTGCCAGTCTAAATTGTCATGTAATACACATATACCAGAGTAGTCATATAAATGCTTTTGGATGACGTCATGGATTGCCACAGAAAATTAATACATTATATATATGTTATAGGTTTCGGATGAATTTCTTTCAGAAATGTTTTTAGGATTGCATAAAAGTCTGTAAAAGGTCTATTTTTAAAGTAAAATTGTGTTATGTAAAATAAAAAATTATAATTTTTTTTAATTCTGCTACACAAGTAATTTTTTTCAGAAATTTTGAATCAAGCATTGAACATTGAAAAATGTAAATCCATATGCAGCTTCTGCAGTAGATTAAAACGTGGAAGGATATATGCTTGTGCTCGTAGGGAGAATTATAATGTCATCGCTCTTGGACAGCATTTAGATGATTTGGCTGAAAGGTGAGCTACTTTTTATATTGAAATCTATTGCTGAAATTTATAAATTATTTTCTTCAGCCTCCTCAGCTATATTTTTTGGAACTCTTTCAGGTACCCTGACATAGTATAACTTTATGATAATTTCAAGCCTAATTGTAGCAAGTGCATGATAAGAACATTCCTATAAATTGCTGCAATTGAATTGCATCTGATTTTAATAGAATTATCTTAATAGTTTGTGCACTTGCTTCAAACTTACTTTAACAGTTAAAATTACTAATTCAAAGTGTCACATAAAATGTCGTGTACTGAAGATAATTTATAAAATTTAAATATATAGATTATTTAAGAAAATTTAGCATTAAAACACTCATTGGAATGTTAGTAAGATGTCAAAGATATGTTCAAGTGATTGTATATCCTTATCAAAGTGGATGTACTGTCAGACTTGTGACATCTGTCCTTAGATTTGTGAATATTCATGCAGGAAACCCAGAACATTTTCAAAGCTGTAAGTTTCCATTTTGAAACATTTCTGGATATCAAGTGGTTGTTACCCGAATTTCTAGATTTTCTCTATGAACATTTTGACTTGTGTATTAATTCATGCCATTACTTGTATAAATATCAGCAGATGCAGTAGAACTGTGATTAGTAACTATAACTTTCCAGCGATTGACAAAGGTTTTGTTTTATAAAATTATCACATTATTCAGAATTCAGCCACTCAGAGAATCTATACCACAACAAGGTAGGCATGCATATACTACATTATGTATTAGTCATTACTGTCCCAATGAGGGTTTTAACCCTCCAGTTCTAGTGTGCATCAACTCTTCAGTGATAGTATTTTGATGTGAAATTATTTTCGTGAAATGTTGTTAATATATGTGTAATAAGCTTTCAATTTTTACCAAAGTACTTATGGCAGTTAGTAGGTTTAGGTTAATTATTATCTTTTATTTCACAGCAAAATGTTCCTTTCATTTTTGCATATACATAAAATAAAATCTGGTGAATACATTGCTGTTTTCCTAATTATATGTCAGAGTTAACTGTGTACTTCAAAATAGCAAATATCTTTGCTATTTTGAAGCACACAGTTAATTTGCTATTTTGAAGTATACAGTTAACTCTGCAATATGCAATACTAAGCAATATGGAAGCTCCAGAAATTTTATGAACCATTCGTAGGAGCTCCATAAAAATAAAAATTTGACTCTTACAGAAGTTAATAAAATATATTCGAATGCTTTGGGGAGATGTGCTTTGTGTTAATTAAGTTACGTGAAGTCCAATGAAAGGTGATTGGTAGCTCAAGGTCAGCACAACATGGCGTGCAATGGAATTCACCTTTGCTATACAGAAATATACAATTGTTGCCTGATCATTTGGTACTTATGAAAAAGAGAACAAGCTGCTGCTTTCAATTTTAATTTCAAGACCTATATGAGTAGCCGGAGAAATATTTTGCATGTGGAAGGTGGAGTTATTGAGAAGGCATCTGATAGATTGTGAGAAATGTTATTCATCTAGTAAAATGGAGGCAGAACAGACTCTGACTGAAGTCTGTAGACTTGAGTCAGAGTCATACTGAGAATCTGGAAACAGTTTAACCCTCTGAACATTATGACCGGGTTTAGGTGGTCAAGGAGACCTACGTCAAATTGGTTAAGAACGCTTCTATGCGGTCGAGGGAAATGTGTTCAAAAGCATTGACGGTTTTAGGCAGTCAGTGGTGACGATATTGAAAGCATTATGAACGCCTTAAAGCCGCCTTGCAGATGCCTCAGTGCCCTCCTTATTTCTGGAACACAGGAGCTCTCTAAATAACAAATCTCAGTAGGAGTCTAAGAGGGTTGCTCTTCTTCATTTTAGACCGCTATGTTTTATCACCAAGAAAGTGTTTAGACATGCGACAAACTGATGCGAACATTCTTTGCTAAATAAATAAACAGCAGGTAAAAATTTTCAAATACTATCTTTAAACAGATAACATTTTCATAACATATCTTTTAGATTTCAAACTAAATGTTCAGAAATATGCAAAATGCTTGTGAATTCAATTAAAAAAATAGCACTTGAAAAAATTTGCATTATTTAAATAAATTTACTTATGATTATATATATGCATAAAACCATCAAGTTAAAAACTTTCAGTTAATTCACGTGAACCGAATAGTACTGCATTCAATTAACCTGAATAACATGCAATTGCATATAAAGAGTAACATTACTTAGGCAATAAGTTGGATAAAAATTAGAAAATCAATAGTCTATTTTAATAAGTGATAGTAAGTGTATTCTTGATACAGTTTTATAAAACACAAACTAATTTAATAGTAAATATAATAATGGTGAATTAATTATTCTTTTTGGAACAATACTAGTCGCTTACACTGGTTTGCTCAAGTTTTGTTCTAATGCATTTTAAATAGTCCATTGCTTTTAATGTACATTGATTTGAATGTGATTTTCATAAGAAAAAATTTTAATAAGTTTGATTTTCTTGTGTGCTCATGCTTTACATAATATATGTAAATTTTGCTCAACGCAATGTAACTACAGCAACGAAGAGTTGAGTTAAAATTTCCATATATTATTAAAATAACCTATAGCATAACATCTGAGTTTCCGAAATGTAACTCGTAACTTTTCTAGGAGTTACAAATTTGAATAAAAAAAATAGCAGTAATTAAAATAATAAAAATGAACTACTAATAAGAAAAGAAGCACAAAAGTTTTTTTTTTTTTTTTTATGTTTGTTTAGTTTATTGTTCTTATATATATATTGTTGGTGAATGGTGAAGTTGTTGTTGGCAAATGGCACATAATAAAGAAGAATGATCTGTATTATTTATTATTCAAAATGCATATAAATTTCTTCTAAAATAGTATCAGTCTTGGACTGAATGCTGTCTAGACTGTTGTTGCAATGATATTTTAACTTGATTGACATATGAAATACGGTTTCATTTTAAATAACTTCATCAGCAATCTTAAGAATCATTTCGAATCATTAGATGATTTTAAATAAAACTTGGATTAGTCCAATTTAAAAAATATTTAGAATTACCGAAATAATAAAAGCTAAACTTATTTTAATTTCTTTATCAAAGTACTACATCTTTAGTCAGCAAGAACTGATCATAAAATCTGAGCCTTATGACCAAGATTCACAGGTCAAAGCAGTAAAAAGAGCTTGTCCCTGTAAAGAAAATCATCACATATTATGGAAAAGAATTTGCAAGAGATCATTATTTTAGACAAAACACGACTTTTTAAATTTAATCTCTTGCATTAGAGATCAAGTATTTTACCATAATTTTTTTTCACATTTGCAGATGATTACCATGTTTTTAACTTTCATAGTATAAATTTAAAAAATACATATAGCAATTTCAACCATGAACATATGACTTAAGAGAAATTTGTTTTGACATGCTACATGAAGGAATGACTAAATATTGATTGATTTACATTTATGTTAAATGACAGTGATTAAAAAAGAACTGTAGATGTGTAAAAAACCTGTACTTGTAACCTTCTGTATTTCTAAAAGAAAGCTTCAAATGGTTCACAATAACGGATGGCTTTGATGATTCAGTAAAGTCATCGTAGGTACATTCAGTTTGCGGTTTTGAAGAACTGCAATAGTTCAGATTTGTCACAAAAGAGTAATTACACCCTTGGGAGACTGCTTTACTTATGGAACGGAAAAACAAGTTTATGCAAAAGACATACCTTTTCTCACAACATAAATGGCAGATGTGGTAATTTGAACACATGCTTTCAATCAGTTGCTTCCTCCTAACAAAGGTTCCTTGCAAAGTCTTGTACTGTTTTAAATATGCTGTGTTCGAGCATTGTGAATGCTTCCATTCATTATTTTTAATTTAAAATAAAATTAAGTTGTAATTACTGTTTAAAATGGCTTAAAATAAATGGATACATTATATAGCAGCATAATTTATATAACAGCTTAGCATAATTTATAGCCAGCTACCATATTTCGTGGGGATGTTACGATGATAGCCACAAATTTGAATGCTTTCTGATATCGCAAGCAAAATTTGAGGTGTTTCAAGTGATGCAATTTGTGAATAAGTGATAATAAATGAAGATGATGTAACAGAAGTTTTCTATTGGGATGACACTAACCCAGTCATCGATCAACAAACGAAAGGCAAAATCTGTAGTACGGTTTTAAATCCAGAAAATATCGCTACCAATAGTAAAGAAAATGTTTTCACAGAATGTCACAGTTTACCAATAGTAAAGAAAATGACAGATTGCTGACAATAAAAAGATTTTGACTCGCAGTTTAATGGGAAGTCTCAACAAGGCAGCTGCAGTATTTCTTAAGTGGAACTGAACAAGAAATTGTGTTTGCATAAAAAAATTAGAGTATTACCATAAGAAAATAAACATTTAGTAAAACAAACAAAGGAATATTAAGTCTTTTTTTATTATTATTATTATTTTGCTTGTTTTAAGGTTATAAATGCTCACCATTTCATAAACATTTACTTCATATTTTTAATTTTATAATTTGTACAGGTCATCTTACTAGATTTAAACTATCGATTGAAAAAGGGAAAGAGTCCCAACAGTTCCAAATCTTGGGCCTTGGGCTGTATTTTGTATAATTTGTATTGAACTATTTGACCACAGGTTTACATACTACAGTTCAAAAATACATACTATAGTACTTATAGTCCAGAATATTTTAAAGGAATTTTAAATTACTGTTTTTATTAACTGTTATGAGAATAAAATTGTCATTTCACTCTGTATCCCTCCAATGTTTCATGACCTTGCATTAAATTGTAGTAATTTTTCAGACTACATATTGCATTTCAGTTATAAAATTTGTTAACTTTCTTGTTTCTGTTCACATTTTTCTGTTTGAATTTCTTACTTTTAAATATTTTTAAGGTTAATTAAAAAGCAATTATCTTCGAAAGGTATAGAAGCTACTTTTATATTTAAGCAGTTATTTTTATGATGTGATTTAATTTTAATCATAAACTTGGAATTCCTTTTCTAGTTTCCTCATGTCAGCCTTTCATAATGGCCGATTAAGAACAATGAAAGCTCATTACACTGATAAGTAAGAAAATATTTTTTTAATCTTCTATCTGGTTTTTGAAGCCAAATTTATTATTTTATCTTTATGCCATCTGTTGATAAAATGTTATTTCTTTACTGATTAGTGGGTGATCTGTGTATCATTTTAGAAAACTGTTTGAAAGAAGCATATTGAAATCATTTTAGAAAACTGTCTGAAAGAGGCATATTGAAATCAGGGGCCTCTGCTCACACCAAGATAATAATGCAAAGTATATAACTAATTAGATGAATAAAAATTGGTATTCCATCCTATATTGGGAGCATATGGGCAACCTCAGGTGCTAGAACGGGTTCTTCGTATGGTCTGTTTATAAAAATAGTTTCTCAACTGAACATTGAGAAAGTGCCAGCATATTTACAGATAAAGATAACAGAAATTTGTGACAAAATAAACATAAGTGTTCAAATACCTGCCTGTGGGGTTTCTGGAAAGCCGCAAATTTGCATCCTGCATGAATTCCAGGATCGGTAGTACTTACCAGTGGGGAGAGTTTTATTCACCTATATAAAAAGAGCAAATCACCAATGAGATCCAACTTAACATGGATCTGGACAGACATCTTAACATCCAAGTTAACATGACTTCTGAAAATCTTTAGTTTGAGCAGCATGTATCCAGACATCTGAAAGCTAATTGCAGGCAGAAAATACCAGATGTCGGGTATTGTGTTGAATCTGCCTGAATATTATTTCCCTCAATCTTTTTCGTCTTCAAATTAAATCCGACTCCATTCCGAAACTCTTGAAAAGAAATATTTTAAATAAACAATTACATTTTCTTGCTTAATAAAGCCAAAACTTTATTTGGTTACACACTTAAGGAAATCAAAACATTATTTTAATCTTTCTTACTGTTGCCAAACTAATAAAACAAAACTCCATCTAAAATAAAAAGGTTGAGTATCGTTAACAAATATAAATCTTGGAGCTCGTAACATACTCCCAACTTTTGATATTTCTTATAATGGTCTTTGAGAATTAAAACATTAAATAAAGATATTGTACCCAATAGACCTGCATAGTACTGAATATACTCGCAATATAAATTAAATATAATACAGAACATATACTTTAAAAAAATCATTTATTGTGAGAAGGTTTAACAATTTGTCTGCCTCCTCTAGTTTATAGTTCAGAATCAGTCACTGTTTTAACATTTTCAGATTTATGAGGAATGTTCCTTTTATGAGAAACAGTTGGCACAAAATTTCATTAACTTGCACAAAAGTTCATTAAATCTAAATAAAATGTTTGGATTGGTAATCTCTAAAGGGATAACCGTTGGACAGGGCATATGTGTTCTCCTACTTCTGTTTTTAATTTCACTTTACTCACATGATTGTCCTTTCCAGGAAAGACCTCTGTGACTATATCCAATGGCCAGAATATTCGGTTTTTGTCATCACATCCAACCACAACTTCACTGACACTTATCTGTTTCAGACTGTTCTTCTTGAAATTCTGCTGAATTAAAAGACCTAAATCTTCTTAACTCTTTCCGTAGCTTTTGTTGATACCGATAGCTTTTGGTCAAATTAATACTGCCCAAGTTATCCAAGTCTGGTACTCCTGCTGTCTTATTATCTTGAAAAAACGTGGAAGGTGTCAATGGCATATTAAATCTTGTGCATCTTCGGATAAGTACGTTAAGAGTCGACAATTTATTACCGCTTCCATATCACACAAAACAGTCAGTACATTTCCTCATATTTTAGGGAGGCTTTTCCTAGTACCCTTCTTAAAAGTTTCTTAATCATCTGAACTATCCACTCCCATCAACCACCCCACTAGGCAGCTGTAGGAATGTTGAAAATCCAATTGAATCCTCATTGTGGAACTTTCTTAAGATAGCTTATCCCAGTCAAGAGACTCCAATGAGTTACTAGCTCCTTTAAAGTTTGTCCCATTACCGCTGTGCAGTTTTTTAGGTATGCCTTGTCTCGCTATAAATCTTTATAATCCTAACAAAAAGCATTGGTGGAAAGGCTTTGAATCAACTCCAGATGAATAGTTCTATGCACAGCGCAAGTGAATAGTAGGATCCAACTCTTACTTCCATCCTTTAAGTGTAGAGGACCGGCTAAATCCACTCCCGTTACTTCAAAAACTAATTATTAACGAGCTCTTGTCATTCAATAGTGGAGCTGGTTCAATTTCCATTTTCTCAATGCAGAATAGCTTTTGCATGTACAAATTTTGTGATAACTCTTTGGACTGTCTTCCTTACTCTCAAAACCCGAAATTGTTGATGAATATCAGCTAGAGCAACTTGTACTCCTCCATGCAGCAGATTCAGGTGATGTTCATAAATTAATTTTTTCCACCAATTCATGATCTGAAGGCAAAACAATTGGACTTGGGAAGTTTTCTTCATCTTCTCTTCGAATAATTTTTGTTTTTAACCTAATCAATCCATCATCATCTAAGAAAACATTAAGGGTTTTTAATTTGTCATCAGTAGATGTTCCATTGGAAGCTTCCCTTTGAACAATTTCCATGAGTATCTTTTCTGAATTTTCAATTTCTTGTGCAGACAACTCTTCCTTCATTATATGCTCAGAATTTATACAATTATTATAGAAAGCAATATCCAGGCTATTAGTCGTAAAATCTTTGAATGCTTGGAAACTCGTCATAAGTACCATAGCTCGTCTGACACAGAAGTGTTAACTAAAGTAGTTTCTCCCTTCTTTCGCTCTTCATAAGCTTCTTCACTATTGGTTTGAATCTGAGATTTGGGCCAGTGGTCTTCGGACTGCTTTAGCCACTCTGGTCCCTGCCCATTTTGATGTAAGGATAAATTTTTTAGTACAACCTCTGGATGGGGGATCTGCCAGATTATGACTCCCAGGAATATGTTTCCATGAATCCACTGAAGTTATACGTCGAATTTCCTGAACTCTATTTTTAATGAAAGTACCTCAATTATCTTCATTCTTAATCCAAAATAAAGCAGTTGAAGAATCTGTCCAATATGTGGTGGGGACTTCTGTCAAATTCATTTCTCTTCTAATGTAAGATATAATGTGTGATCCTACACAACAGGCTAGTAATTCCAATCAGGGAATTGTTGCTTTCGTCAAGGGAGCAACTCTACTCTTAGCTGGAATTAAAATGAACTTTGACTTCATCACTGTTTTCTTTACGAAGAAACACAACTGTGCTGTAAGCAGATTTACTAGAATCTACAAAAGTATGAAGACATAATCCTTCTCAGAAACCATCACAATCAGCATATCTTGGAACTTTAATTTCCGATAATAACTCAATGTCTTCCGTCCACAGTAAAAACCTTTTACAAACACTTTCAGGACATAACTCATCCCAGTCTGATTTAAGAGTTCAGCTTTTTTGTATTAGCATCTTCATGCAGATTGTTACTTGGCACATTCCAGTGGGATCAAAAATACTGTCGGCAGCTGAAAGAATAGTTCTTACAGGTTCTTTCTCAAAGGAAAGTAGTAAACAAAAAAATGATATCTTTATTTCAGTCTCACAATAATCCAAGAACGGGAGAATCCTTTTCCCTTTTATTTCCCATCTATGTAAGAAAAACATGCTGAAGTTAGAATTTGTTTATCCTCATGTACAAATTGCAATAGTTCCTTTTCATCAGATACAGATATTACACTGTTGTCCACATAAAAGGCATTTTTTAACTCTGGTACATTCAGTATTTTTTCCCTCTCACCTTAAATACTTCACACGTTTGAATTTTTATCAAGATTTTAATAATTTGCATTCTCTTTCCACATGGTCAGTTCATATTTGCATTTATTATGATTGTTATGCCTATATTATGAGCATATGTATGAATATTTGTAATAATATAGTTGCAGTAACTGCTGAGGTATAGGTAAACTTCCAAAAATCGGTAAGTGTGTTTTAATACAGATTAACTTTCTAAGGAATAATATTCAGAATGGCTTAAATGAAGGAAAAGTAATCAAATAGTAATTTTTTTTTTTTTTTTTTTTTTTTTTTTTTTTTTTTTGCCAATACATTATACAGTATGGAGGTTGGGAGGTTCTCTCCTTTCTCCACAAAATCTCAAATATTGAAACCGTTACATTTCGCAGCAAAACAAGCAACGGTCTTTTTTAGGGGGGTTGCTTTCCAATCTGGGTTGCATAGGACTAAAATTTCTGCGGTCTACTAACCCAAGCGAAGAATGATTCTATTCCGGAAATTGAACGCAGCCTGTTCTGTGTAGAAAGAAAAATACCCCAGATTGGCCAAGTCTCTTTCTTTTCTTTATTTTGTTCTTTATTTTCTGAATACTGGCAGCTGTTGATTCCGATTGTGTAATATCATGTACGGAAGAATTACGGCCCACGTATTGCACAGTAACGTTTGCGATATTTTGCAGAGATAATGAATTTTGATGTTCAGTCTGAGATTTGTTTATGAACACTTAAAATTGTTTTACTGTGTTTGCTAAGCAGAATATTTTTCAGTTCCATTAGTCTATTTTTATATGATGCACATATTGAAATGTCAAAAGCATTTATTTAGCCAAAAAATCTTAAAGAACAGCTACAATCTACCCCTCCTTGCTCCTCTTTTTCCAGTTACGCTTGACTGTCCGGAATATTTGGCAGTTTCCGAGTATACGGGTTAGTTAAGCTCTTACTGTTAAAAGGATGACTGCAGGACTGCAATTTCCCGTCTTCTGATTTCAGAAATGTTCCTCTTTTCTACTTAAATTACTTTGCTTGCAATATCTGTTAAGGGAACATTGTTATACAATGAAAATTTAGAAAATGTTCAGAATTTGAATTTAAGTTAAATTATTTAAATATTAATACAAGCAGAAAAATAAATTGTATTTATTATTAGGTGTCAAGCAAATACAATAAATATGGATTATTATTATTTATTTTCTCTATTTTGAACTGAAATTTCGTCATTAAATCTTGTAATATAGTTTAGTTCTGCATAGTTCCCCCCCCTCTCATTGTAAACGAGTTCTGTAAATTG